GCGATCGGTAGACACAAGAATAAACAACTATTGGTAAATCCAATTTTGCATGCCCTAAGCCAGGGGTCGACAACCTGCGGCTCGCGAGCCACATGCGGCTCCTTGGATGTGAAGCTGCGGCGCTTTAGTTTCATACGCAAATATTATTTATTTTATAAAAACTTAAAAATCGATCCACACTGAGCCATTTGGAGTTGATACTGGATCTCTAGAAAAAGTAAAGCGTTGTGGAGTTGAAAATTTACAGAGTTGAAAAGCAAGTTGAAAGAGTTGGAGGTCCAGAAACGTATGTACGTAACGCAACAAAAATTAACAGCTTTAAAAGAAATGCCGCGAGTGGAGGCACTTATATTCGACGCATGGAATACCATGGAAACTTGGAACTGGAATCCAAATGCAAACTTCTTCACTTCTTCACTAAGGTGAAGAAGTTTGCATTTGAAGTGCTGACTATCTTCGGATCGACGTATTAGTGCGAGCAAGCGTTCTCTTGCATGAATATAATTAAAAGTAAAGTAAGAAGCCAACTAATAAATGAAAATTTAGAGTCGTGTTTGAAACTTAAAACAACAAGTTATGAGCCAAATTTATCCAAACTTTCTAAAACCATGCACAGCCAGTGCATGGTTTTAGAAAGTTTGGATAAATTTTTTTCCCATTGAATTTCATTGCTTAAATGTATGTTATTGTTTTTTTTTTTATTTTTAAGTAAAAGTTACATTGTTTAGTAAAGTTTAAATTTTCTACTTGAATAACCATACAAAGCCAAAGCTCCCATTGAATCTGTTTGCTCAATTGTTTGTCATTGAAGTACAAGTTGGTTGTACTTCAATAACAAACAATTGAGTTAGTTGTAGTTAGTTGAAGTACAAAAAAAATTTAGCGCTTTGACTTATTACTTCATTCCTGTTAGACGGGAGATGAAGCTACATTCTTCAACAGACTTGACAGCATACAGGGAACTGAACAGACAGATCTCCAAATGCATGCGGCGGGATTTAAGCAACTTCAATACAGCTTGTATTGAAGAAGGGATCGAGCGGAACCAAGGCTCCAAAGTCTTTGCCAGAGATCTGTCTGCCAGAAAGAGCCAACTGTCAAGGCTGAAGACCGAGTGTGGCAACATCGTTTCCGGGACACCTGAGATTTTGAGTGAGATTGAGAGGTTCTATGGGCAGCTGTACACGTCATCGTTGGAGCCACACGCAAGTGTGAGTAACGATCCAAGAGCGAGTCTTATCCGACACTATTCCGAAGATATCCCGGACGTCAGTCTGAGCGAGATTAGAATGGTTCTCCAACACCTTAAAAACGGCAATTCCCCGGGCGAGGATGGAATTATAGCGGAGCTTTATAAAGCGGGTGGAAAACCGGTACTTGAAGTCCTTCAGAAGCTTTTTAATTCCGTCCTCCATGGTGACACTACTCCAGACGCGTGGAGCAGAAGTGCAGTGGTCTTGTTCTTCAAGAAAGGCGACAATGCTCTCTTGAAGAACTACAGACCGATTTCCCTTCTGAGCCGCGTCTACGTGCTGTTTTCGAGATTCATTACGAATCGTCTCGCACGCAGAGTTGACGACTTCCAGCCTCCCGGACAAGCTGGTTTTCGAAAAAGCTTTAGCACCATCGACCACACATATACCCTGCGGCAGATGGTACAGAAGACAGAGGAGTATAATCTGCCACTTTGCCTTGCGTATGTGGACTATGAGAAAACCTTTGATTCCGTCGAAATTTGGGCGGTGCTGCAGTCCCTTCAGCGGTGCCAAGTTGACTGTCGGTATATCGAAGTTCGAAGGGAACGCCGCGGATAACGGCCCTGACTTTAAGCTCTTCCGGAAGAGCGTACGTGTGGTGGGACACACGTTCAGAAGTAAATAGCCTTGCCTTGCGAGCTTGAAGTGTTTGTACAGTAGAGCTACGATGGCTATCCGAGTATAGAATCAGAGTATGAAACCTATCCACTTGCAGAGAGGTGTAAGACAGGGTGACGATATATCCCCGAAACTCTTCACCGCTGCATTGGAAGACGTGTTCAAGCTACTGGACTAGAAAGGTTGCGGTATTAACATCAATGGCGAGTACATCACTCACCTTCGATTTGCCGACGTTATAGTCCTTATGGCAGAATCGCTGGAGGAATAGGTCCTCCAGCGATTCTGCCATAAGCATAATGCTCAATGACCTCAATAGTGTCTCCCAACGGATAGGTCTTAAGATGAACATGGACAAAACAAAAAACATGTTTAACGTCCATGTCACACCTATGCCGGTAGTTGTAGGGAGCACTAAGCTCGAAGTTGTTGACGAGTATGTATACCTGGGATAAATAGTCCGACTAGGTAAGTCCAACTTCGACCGAGAGGTCAATCGACGAATTCAACTCGGCTAGGCAGCGTTCAGGAAACTACGACACATATTCTCGTTAGACATACCTCAAAACCTGAAAACGAAATTGTACAACCAGTGCGTGGTGGTAATGACTTACGGATCTGAGACGTGGTCCTTCACTGCTGGCCGTATGAGGAAGTTCAAGGTCGCTCAGCAAGCTATGGAGAGGGCTATGCTCGGGTTTCTCTGCGTGAAAACTTAGAAATGAGGATATCCGCAGTAGAACCAGAGTAAGCGACATAGCCCAACGGATTAGTAAGCTGAAGTGGCAGTGGGCCAGCCATATAGCTCGGAGAACCGACAACCGATGGGGAAGGAAGGTTCTCGAGTGGCAGCCTCGTACCGGTAGGCGAAGTGTAGGGCGACCCCCCACTAGATGTAGTGACGACCTGGTAAGACATGCAGGAAGTCGATGGATGCAGGTGGCTCAGGACCGTGCTTTGTGGCATTCCTTGGGGGAGGTCTATGTTCAGCAGTGGACTTATGAAAGGCTGTAATGATGATTTCTGTGTCTATCAATATCCAGGTCGTAGAAAAAGTGGGGTCATCAAGGTGACGGAGACGCTTACAGCAGATGTCATTGCGGACGTAAACACAGACTCCAGCACGCTAATGGAAATTAAGGTCCAATGTGTACCCAGGGTAGCCAAGGTACGCCGCATCTAGAGGACATCTGATCTGCGGCGCAGTCAAGAAGAGTAAGTGCGGCTTGTCAGTCTCAAGGTGGTAATGGACTGCATTGAGATTACAATGCAGGCCTCGGAGGTTTGTGTGGTGCACTTTGATGGAGGGGGAGTGCAACCGCTGTACAAACTTACTCTTCTTTTTCCTTTTTTTCATAAATAATGGGAGTGAATAGGTTGAGAGAATGGCAGTTGGACGAGGCGGACGAGCGTCACACATATAACCTAGGAAGGCAAACAGAGTCACAGCATCGATGGTACCTAGCATGGAGATCGCGGGTACGTCTTAATCCCCCTGGAAATCGCCATGAGGCGCTCTCCTCCGGTCGCCAACCGGCATGGTGGAGTCATCTCAGGATTTTTCGTAAGATGGCGGGGCAGCCTTTCATGAGTGGCCGACTCATTAATTAGGCCCCCAACTATCTACGGTCGGCTAGCGGTGCAACGGTGCTTCGGATCCCGCTAACTTCTATAACCAGGCACCTGACACTAAGAAACGGCCGCGTTGCAACCAGATCGTATGCGCAACTCAACTGTCCATATCCATTCTCCCTAACAAATGGGTGTCACCTAACATCATACTGAAACATGATACATTTGGCGGTATGTCTTTGCCAGGTAGGTGGTAACTAACCCTCGGCCGGATCTCTCACTAGTAGAGGATCTACCTACCACCAGTATGTAGTGCTGCTCGTTTAGCACTACCGAGTATACGTGTAAGGAATCAGGATTTAAGTAATTCCTGCGGACGCGAGCTGCTTCATCCCCCAAATCCCCCATCAGGTGAACTGTGTGCTTGTTTGTTACCCTTATTCTATAAAAAAAGAAGAAAAACGATTGCTAAGTGTTAGGTCCCTAGTCAATCGGCCGTGCTCGGACCCTGCCAATAGCCAAGTTGACTTTAAAAAAAAAAACCAGATAAGTGCGAGCCTGACTCTCGCACCGAGGCTTCCGTACAAACTCGTATGTTCGAGTAAGTTTTAAGTTTCTCCCCGAAATGTATAAGTACAACATTTATTTATAGTTGATAAAATGTTCTCAAGGTTAATTCTTCAACTGCAAATGTAAGTTTGTAATCGCAAAGAAATATTTTTTTATGTAATTAAATTACAAATTAACCATTTTCGGACTTTATCCTTTACTTTTGTTCTAAGACCCTGCTTCTTGCCAAATTTCATGATTCTGGGTCAAAGGTCAGTAAGTACTTTGGTACGATTTTGATTTATTTACGAGTATCAAAATATGTCGCATAAATGGCCGTGTTTTATTATTGATTTGACTTAGAACCTTGATTTTTTTAGAACTCCAAGAGACCTTAGACCTACGTATTTGATATTTATTTAAATGTGATAACTCCTCGAGTTCCAAAGAAAAAGGGCCTTGACAGGCAGACAGACAGGCAGGCAGATGGGCTGACGGACGCACAACGAAGTCATCCCATAAGGGTTCCGCTCTTTGCTTTTAAAGAACCGAACGAATGTTTGGTATGAAACCCAAAAAAAAGAACAGATGCCTCAAAATTATTTTGTATTATGGAATTGATACGTGTCTTTAAAAGATATTTTGATGAATCAATAATCTCTTCGATGAACGTAGACAATGCAAGCAATAAAGTATTAATTTCATTGTGATCTGTTACCATATGCTGTCCATATGAAACATGTACGTGTCTTATGTTCCCTTACTAGACCAATTGACCAAGGTCAATTTTGTTTATCACAGAGCCACCGTGCATTAACTATTCTGTACAATCATCGCCGCTAAAACTGGAAATCCGCGAGTTGAATCTCAACAACATGCTATACACAAATATTATAGGCGCTTGGAAATGACGTCACTCTGAGGTCGCAATCTATCGCAATCGGGCGCGGGCTCAGAGATCACTAGTGCGCCGTAATCACACTAGAACTAACGTACTATACGAAAATGAGACTCACGTTAATTTTCCTGCTATGTTCGACAACGTGCCGAGCTGATGACTTAGCCCATGCGGCTGGACAGATCTTCTCGAATATCCTTCCAAACATTCTGACCAATTCAGTGACGGGCCAGCAAGGAAACACAGCCGGGAACACTATTCAGCAAATTGGCACGGTCGTAGGAGGGGTTGTGGGCTATGCTCAGAAGAAAAGTTACGAGGATATGTTACGTCAAGTGCAAGATTCGACCACCGATGAGGACATATTGAGATTAAGCGAGGAAATGTTCAATGCGGATATCAACAACGCTTTCAATTACATTCAAGTCAACTTGCAAGGCAAGACAAGTCCTATGTCCAAAAATGACGAGGCACAATCTAAGTGAGTATAATGTGTATGTGTATTCATTGTTCATCATTCATACAGCCTTTCAAAGTTTACTACTGAACACATCCCTCCCCATAGATTGCCTCGAAAGAGGTATATTTGTCATAGTTGCCAAGCTTGACAGGCTGGCTAGTAACTGCAGTTTTCTATTTTCTAGTTGTTATTATGAAGACGATGTATTTATATGATTTCAGAAAAATTGTACTGTGATTGTATTGATCTTCTTAAACTTCCCTAATATTAAATTTATATTACCTATTAAGTACCTATGAGGTAACGATGGACATTTTTCACGGCAAAGGACTTTTTATATAATATATAATATTAAAATAAAATTTATGAACCATTTGAACATTAACGGTCGTACTCATAAAAATCGTCATCAATTTAAGAAATGCTTAAAGTTGCTCTCTCTCTCTCTCTCTCTCTTCATTAAGTGACAAAGAAAAAGACAGTAGCGGTAATTAATACTTAAGTATGTTATTAAACTTATAAATATTGAATTAAGTTCGTTATATTTGGTTTTATTATTCAAATATATATACAAAAATAATTTAAATAACGTTATCTTTCCAGTCTTCTCAACGTACCGGAGAACGTGTGGAATGGGCCAACTATTCGACCTTTCGTTGCACTTTTTGACAACTACCATAAGAATGTAATAAGGCCAGAGTTCGTTACACCTAATGTAAGTCGTTTTAATATCTTATGGTATGTTATGGTAAATATAGGTTACGTAAGGTCACATACACGTCGCACACCTGGATACACATCTCCTTCCATTTATAAGAGGGTTACGAAGAAATCTGTCATATATGAGAGTTTACGCGCTGCTCCAGTGCGTGTTGGTGGACTTCACGTGTCCTTGAAATATTTTATTCCTCAGATATGCAGATATACTCATGTTTTCTTTTACCGCCGATAACGTCATTAGCTCTTAAAGTTGGAATTAACACGTCTCTAGAGATCGATCCCAGGCTTATCGCGACCCACGGCTCCGTATTTTCCAGACGATATGAATTGGTACTTTAAGTAAACAGTCATTATATCGTTGAAATAAACTCTTTTTATTAAGAAATAAGTTTGTATCGTATTTCGCATATCGTGACATCATGACTGTTAATATACATACTTCTATCCATATGAGTGAAGCATTGAAATGAATGCAAAGTATTAAAATGTCAAGGCATTTCAATAGTTTAGACACTTACCGTTTTAATGTAATTGATTGATTGATTTTAACATGATTTATATAAAATCTCGGGTTAAAACTATGGTTTTAGAAGTCTTTCTAAATATAGAAGAAGTCCCAGCCGCGGTGACCGCGGCACGTCGTCAGCTTTTGCGAAATTTTACATTTTTGCATATCTGCTCTTCCATATTTTACATTTTAATTTGCTTAATACTACTACAAAATGGGTGCGGTTTAATTTGATCGGCCCTCACTCAAGTGCCTATTGGTATGTTAGTTTCATTTTCTTCTTATTTAAACAAAATACAGAAAATATTTTAATTATTAATGAGGAATTCCTGTTACTTAAATAAAATAATTTCCTGTATTTTGAATAAAGTCGATACTATCATTTGTTCTCGAGATATTCGAAACGAAAAGGTTCACTAGTAAACATAGAGCAACATGGCCATCGGCGCGGACCGGAGGGGAGTAGCCATAGCGTTTTTTCCCGATACAGATCTGTCTGTCATTTTTTGCGGGAGGTAATCTGCGCACAAAACAACAATCGTCTGTCACTACAAAACTCACACATAACAATTTAAGCGATATACAAACAATTTCACACACACACACACACAATACATTAGAACATTATCGCTCTGTGACAGAGATAACTCGGATACAGACTCGGATCAGATCGATCCGCAGATGTTGACGAGCGGCCTGTATCGGTGAACAAATCCGAAACTACGCGACTGTTATGATTGTAATTTTTAAGTTTAAAAAGAATATCAAAAATTACTTCAATACGAAAGGTAACACCATCTTTTTGTAAATGTGACCTGGCAGATATATTTTTACAGCTAAAAACAAAACTATTCGGAATTTTCTAAGACTTTGATTCAACTGGACAACTAGATTTAGTCTAGTTAGCAGTGTGACTGCAACTAGTTTTGACCGCGTGGACTTGTACTTTGACAGAGGAGAACGCCTGCGTAAGGCTACTCCCCTCCGGACCGCCGGTGGCCCGTGTCACTCTATTCCCAGTGAACATATCATAATCCTTTTAAAACAGTTGAATTAGACTCAAAACTTATAAATAATAATATATTGACTATAAAATAAATAAAACGGACGGATATTGACTATAAAATAAATAAACGGATAAAATTCAAATTTTCCTTGAAATTGGACTGATTCGGAAAGAAATATCTTACCAAAATCACAAAAATTATGTAATAAAATGGGAAGTTAATAAATTTACTGGCTCATATTCTGCCTAAAGCTCGACACACATGGTCAGTTAAAACGGATGTAAGCCAAAACGATGTCGCCACTCACTGACTTCAAACCGAACTTCATTTCTCGATCGACGGGGTCGCGCGCAGACGTGTCGGTGTGCGAAGAAACCCTTTTACGTATTCCTGCCGCCAAATAGCAGTGCTTGCACTGCACGTGCACGTAACGAAACTATTCCAAAGTGGCGGCGAACCTCCCTCCCCCGGTCGCGATGTGGCACAGTCGTCACTCAACGTAACGAATTCTTTGATCCTGTAGCCACCTTTAGCTATCAAGTGGTGTAATTAAATTTTGGATGTAGGTGATATACATGTAGTTGCATCACTAAAATCTATCCCCCGATTTTGTTATCATCAGTTTTTACGTCCTACTACTGGAGCAAATACCTAGTCAGGTCATAAATTCTGTCACATGTTTAATATAAAATAATTGAAACAAGTTTATTCATTATGTAACCATTTATATACCAAAATGAACTTAACAAAACATAGATTCTTATGACACTAAAGTTTATTCAAAATGACCTCCGTGATTTTGAATACAGGCCGTCAATCTGCGCGGCCAGTCGTCTATCGCAGCACGAACGAGGTCCATGTCAATATCGGCGGCTGCCTTAATCAAGGATGTCTTGAGTGACTCCAAATTGGGATGAGGCTTTGAGCACGCCTTTTCCTCCAAGTGTTGCCATGTCTTGTAATCTAACGGATTCAAATCTGGACTGGAGGAGGGCCAGTCTTCGTGCCGGATGAAGTCGCTTTCACACGCCGCCAGCCAGTCTTGTGTGCTCTTCGCTCTATGAGCTGGCGCCGAATCTTGTTGGAATACCCAGTGCCTGTTATTGAACATGGTATGAGAAACAGGTTCCACAAGGTTCGTCAGGACTGTATTTTGATACACAACTGCATTCGTTTTTACACCTTTCTTACAAAAATGTACCTCTGTTAAGCCCCAATAAGAAACTCCAAATTATTCCACGATTTTTTATTACTTTTGCGATTTTTCTGAATCTGGACAAGGTTCGAGCGGTTGTTGTATATTATCTAATTGACAAGGCAGCTGGCATTCTTCCGCGCATTTTTCTGGGCTGATGAGAATTGTCGGGCAAAACTTAGGGCTAAACCAACCGTAGGAGTAAGTGAGACCAATGGCCGAACCAACACACAAAGCCGCTAGTTGTAGCATATCCTTGTTATCCCGTTGGTCCAAAGGATGGTCGACAGCTGCGTGCTTATCTTCTATCATTTTTTTAAATTGTTTCCTACCAGTCCAATACCACAGTCTAGTTGGTTTTAAACCGTTCTTATACATTTTGCTGATGTTGTTTTTGTAATATGGTAAGCTGGGGAATTTAAATAATTTAAGAAGTCTAATCGGCGTCAAGGAACATTGCCCATTTGTTAAATTTAGTTGCAGTTAAGGTTTCATAATCCGTTGTGAGTATACATACATTGTAAATTTATATTTTTACGACATTGAGACGGTGGTTTTGTGTATCATTATCGACGTGGAACTCGATAATGATAAACTCCCAACCATACCATGAGCGAGGATGGAAAATGACCTCGTTGGACACGCGAAATACGGTTGCTCGCTTCTTCACTGCCGTGTGCGTACACCTTATCATTTTGTTTGTTGTAGTTCTCTTCTACGGTAAAAATTTTTTCATCCGAAAAAAGAATTTCCCGAAATATTTTCCCGCGTACCGCTTCAACAAAGCGCGGGATCTCTTCAGTCTCAGGTCCATTAGACGAGCATTCAAACGATGTCCTGTTTTTCTTCGATATTCCCGGAGCCCTAAGTCTTCATTTAACACCCTTTTCACCGTGGTTCTGCTTAACCCCATCTGAAGGGCCAACAGTTTATGCTTACGTTTGGGATTTCTTTGAATTCGCGCCTTCACAGCTTTTATCACTGCTGGAGTCCTAACAGACCGAGGGCGACCACTTCTTGACCTGTCATCTACACTAGAGTCTTCATTGTATCGTTTGATGGTACGATAAACGAATCTTTTGGTTACTCGTATATTCAAATTTTTCAGTATGTCAAAAATTTGAATTTGCGCGTAACCGCAACGATGCAACGCAATAACTGCAACACAGTCTTCTTTAAGCGTCCACTCCATATTTAAAAATGAGTAAAATTCTAAAAAGTATACAGTTTTATTTTCATGAACAATTCGAAATTCGAATTCAATAAACTTTTTTGTGGCCAGCATTCTAAAAGAAAAGTTTTTACTGTGTGACAATACTTATGACCTGACTAGGTATAAGAAGTATTTTTACGTCAAAAAATAGTTAGTATAATATATAATAGTTAGTATAATAAAAATAGTAGCAAATACCTACATCGCGGTTATCAGCTCATTCAGGTACATGAATGGTGTAAAAATATTTTATTCGTATTTATCCATAGCAATATGAAGAATAAAACAGCACTATTAAAATCATCACTTTTTACATATTCACTTATTTTAACAGTGTAGGATATAATTGACTCTGTTTTCCAGGAAGAATCCGAACAAACAACATTTATCAACACTATCATGGCTACGGGTCCCATTAGGAGCTTAATGGCGTTTTTGGTTAACAAAGGTAATGGTAAACACTTTTTTAGTCACCGATTTTATGTAAGCACTGGCAGTCTATAAAAAAATCAATCCTACAGAATACCTATCCCCACAGAATACCAGCGTAAAATAGCAGCTTAATGCTGCTGTGTTTCTTATGGTGAGTGTAGAGAACCGGAGACCCTTTTACTGGAAAAGAGGCATTCTATCTTAGTCCTCACGGCTGACAACGCATCTGCATTTTAATTCGTAAACGAAGATAGATGTAGATGTCTATGGGCCACAGTAACCACTTACCATCAGGTGGACTGTGTGCTCGTTTATCACCCTTATTCTATAAAAAAAAACTCTTTTTCAATTAAATTCACGGTCATTCTCAAATCGCTACGTAATGCATCCAACGAATCGGGGATTCCCCCAATTTGAATGAAGTCTAGTACTCATTCAGCGGACCGCTCACCGGCTGCGTTCCGAATTAATATTTATACTTTAAGTATAAAAATATCTAGCACTCTTATTCATAAGTTTTGAAACACAGAGAAGAGTAAAGCTTTTTAAATTAAATTTATTCACGGTCGCAAAACTCACAAAACGCAATTACAGATCAAGCATTTCAAAACTTTTGTATATCATACAATACGCTACGTAACGTATACATATTATTAGTTCTACTACTCGATACTATATGGTTCTGTTCTGTAAGTATGAATGAATTATTTCATCAACTGACAGCATGCGTGGCTAAAACGCAGTACCTAATACCTATTGTCATCGAGGATACAAATTTTCCAATTGATTTTTCTCTGTATGAAACATTTTCCATTACTTTTGTGCGCGCGCGATGCCCCTAGACAGTTGTCTCATGCCTCTAATGGTTAATCCGGCCCTGCATAGTTATCATGACTATCATTACGATAGGTCATCTATATTAGGTACCTATTCATTAAGATAATTTCAATGAGCCCAAATACAATTTTTTTACTGTAAGTTCCTGAGGAGTTAAGCATCAGTCCGGTGATGCTACTCACATCCATCAATGCTGGCTGCAAAGAGGCCCCAAATATTTTCGTTGTAGAGCCATGCTGCAACTATATTAGTAGTATAGTTGTAGCACGAATGGGTGGGCTCGACCGGGGAAGGACCACGCTCTCGCAGAATACCAGCGTAAAATAGCAGCTTAACACTGCTGTGTTTCGTATGGTGAGTGTAGAGAACCGGAGACCCTTTTTACTGGAAAAGAGGCATTCCATCTTAGCCCTCACGGATGACAACGCATCTACATTTTGACTCGCAAACGAGGATAGATGTAGATGTCTATGGGCCACAGCAACCACTTACCATCAGGTGGGCTGTGTGCTCGTTTGTCCCCTATCCTATAAAAAAAATGCATTGCCTAAGGGCCCCAATATGGTTGATCCGGCCCTGTGACTATGCACTGATTGTACACTGTGCATCGTGTTCACGACACGGCGGCGACCCAGTGCACACTGTACAATCAGTATATAGTCAGAGATTAATTAATAGTTACTACGTAAGCATGGTGTACAGATTCGCAGCCAAGACCCACCTCTCGTTAATCAGGTACCTACTGAAAAACTTTAAAAGGACACTTTCAATAATTAGGTCCGCTTATTATTGTAATTATGTCCAATTATTTTTATTTGTATATAGGACTTACACAATTCAACGAATATAATGAACAAGTGGAATTATTTAGAAAGATCTGGTTCACTAAGTACGCACGTCACTGGACCGGCCTTTGTAAATGCAGTTGCGCCTTTGAGAACATTTTCATGGCAGAATTAAAATCAAACGATGTTCTTGGTGAGTGATTTAATTTCTTTTTTATTGTAAAAATATGCATAAAGTACCTATAATAAGTACTTAGTTATTCTTTGTACATTATAGAACCTATATAATAAATCCTTATCACACAATATAACCTGTATTTACTCGTATATGTTATAAACAAAATCTTTACTTACGTTACTCGGAATTTCTCGTGTTGTTTTTATAGAAGAGGAGGCAAACGAGCATAATGTTAATGGGACTTACCGTCAAGTCAGCCCTTGACGGTAAGTCCCATGAACATTTGCCACACCAGAGGAATTATATGAACGCTGTCGGCCTTTTGGAAAGGAGTATAAGCTCTTTTCTTGAATGCCCCTCAGTTGTATCGATTGATATCGATGGAAAACCACCGGTGACAGTATATGCGGTCGTGCGTGGAAAAAAATTCCTTGATAAATCCTCGTAAGTGGACTGCCAATTCATCGAGATGATATGGATATTGAATTTCAAGTTTTGTCGCAGTTCATGATATTATATTTAGTAGTTGGAATCAATTCGAACAATTCCTCTGAGCACTTCTCATGATATAAGCGATAGAAGATGCAACATATTTTTGCAAGCCAGTAGAACTTAGTCGTCGACGATTCGAGCCGCTCTCCGTTGTATCTCGGCCAAGTGTTCCATAAGGCCGAACCTGGGCTTTGTAAAACTGCAAGCGGGTTGGCCAGCATAAAATGCAGTCTCGATCTACTGAACACACTAAGCTTTTTTGAAGTTAGTTTAGCCTAACCTTCCAAATGACGCAAATCTTTCGGTAATATTGATCCGAGGATTCCGATGCTGGCAGAGGCAATAAGGAGAGTGCACTGAAATTGAGGCGATACGATAAAGGGGTTCTTTTTTAGCCGTAAACACGCAAACCTTTTTCGTACATTCGAAATGTTCCCGCGCGAGTTCTGTCGTCTGCATAACTATGAATGTTATTAGCTTGCAACATATGATTGCTATGCATAAGAAACAGAATAAGCTATAGAACACATCCTTGTCATATGTTTAAAGTCGAAGCATGCACCGTCGACTATAGCCTTGACGCTCTGATCTGCGACAAAACTGGTGACTCAAATGCATACAAATTTCCCGGAAAAGTGATAGGAATATTGCTTCGCGAGTAGCGCTTTGTCCCAAACCTGATTGATATCTAATCTCACCCACCACAAGGTCTCAACAGCCTTCGCCCATCAGTAAGTCAGGTAGACAAAAAAATCACCAGTTGAGCGACCTTGACGGAAACCTTATTGGCGGTCAATAATCAGCTGAAGCTCCTCAAGGTACCTCATGAGCTGGCAGTTACTAGTGGACTCCATTATTTTTAAGAACAAAGACATGATAGCGATAGGCCTGTAGTTCAACGGGTCTGAGCAATCGCCTTTCTTTACGGATCAAGAACACAATGTCTGCCTTCCAAGTTTGGTAAGACGCCTAAAGTAAAAACCAGAGTCAACTCTGGAGCTCAATTGGGAGATTGAAAACCCATTCAATTAATAGATGTTCAAGGAGAGTAGTGCTTTACGCATTGAGACGTAGTAATCATATATTCTTTGGCACTGACATCTGTAGAAACTTAACGTTCTGCATGGAGTACTCACACTGCAGGATCAGTAGTCGAGAGTCGAGTTGGACACAAAAAGGGAATCTAAAAGATCGACTTTCTCAGTTGTGGCTTGACCCAGCGAGTCATTCATTCATTCAATCATTCGTGTGCAATGATGGTAAAGATGACTTAAATAAATCCCTTGGGTAGCCTTGGTGAGAGACCATATTGTGTGTATATATATATATATATATAAACCAAAGGAAGGCGAACTGGAGGCATTTCACATATGATACCGTACCTGACGTTATGACAAATACTTTTTCGTGCGAGCATCGAACCCGCATGAAGTACTTAACAAAATATAAAATTATAATTTACACATTTTTCAAAATACGTTTTAATGCACATGACATAAAATTATTGATAGTGAAATTAGTTGCATTTGTAAAAATAATTATTAATTAAATTTACAGGTCTCCATAGCTGGTTGTTTTTCGCTAAAAGAGAAATGGATCACAAAGCCAATTATCTCGGATATATTGACAAACTTGATTTGTCCGGAGTAAGTAACGATATCCTTTTAATTTAAAATCTATGCATAGCTACTCTGAGCCCAGACAGCTGTAAAGGATATATTTCGATGATGTTCGTAATTTGAATAGTAGTACTCTTGTGTTATCCAAATACCTACTAGTACCTGGGTGACCGCGCTTCACTCGACGTTAGGAAAATATTTATATAATTATCTCGGGCATAACACCACGGACGTAAGAAAATAAATGACCAGGGATGGGCCTTTACAAGACATGCAGGTTTTTACATCTTTAAAGTGCGTTTTCTTAGTTTCGATATGAAAATAAAAAAAAAGGTTACATTTCTTTTATTCAACCGACTTCAAAAAAGGAGGAGGTTCTCAATTCGACTGTACTTTTTTATGTGTGTTACCTCAGAACTTTTTTCTTGGTGAACTGATTTCGATGATTCTTTTTATTTGTACCAAGTTTTTGATTTATCCTTAATAATGCGTATTTAATTGACTTCGACTACTTTAATGATGTTCTTATTTTATTTATATTTAAGTCGGTTGTACAAAATTTAATGTACCACCACTTGTTGAAAGTTTCAAGTCAAAGTTAGTAAACGATTGCAGTTGATTGACACAAATAATACTTGTCGCAGTGTGATTAATGTTATTTTATTTAATTTAAACACCTGAGAAGGCTCAATCTGCTATAGACTCATATAGTCGTAGTTTAAGTGTACCGCCTCCTAACGAGTTTTTATATTTTTGGCTGCAATATTTCATGAAACTTCGAATTTGCTTCTACTTATATGACCACGAGTAAAAAAGGTCTTCGTAATATGATTTAGTAAGAACGTAGTTTATACTCCCCAAACAGTACCCTTTTCGTATTACCCACATCCGTTTGGGCTCTTCTGTTTCCATAACGCTAATAATACCTAGCAGATGTTCATCACTGTCAGATAGCTAGATGGTGCTTAATGCACCATTACGTTGCCTAATTGGCAACCTATAGGAAATAAAAACGTGGCCGCTGTAGGTAGCCAGTGACACCGGCAACCCTCACACCGAGCGGTCTCCGAACGGGACTTTTGTGGCACTCACTGAAATGCATTCGCTTGGAAGAAATAAAATTTCTAAATAAATCGAAACAATCTTGGCGTGTGCTGCGTTATATAGATATAACTATAAAAGTAGCCGGAATATATTTAATACGGCATTGCCGTGTAGTGGCGTTTGATAATCTGCTACCCCATAGCATCGTAAGAGGCGGCAGAGGGAAAATGTAACAGGAAACTGGGCAACATTTTCCAGCAGTTACCAGCCCGCCTGTTACCCCAACACTAGGATTTTCTCTTGTATCGTGGAGGCAGTTTACAAATATAGATTGCACGAGGACAAACATACAGACCCGGTACAATTATTTGTAGGCCATACAAATATTTGTTCCGTGCGGGATTCAAATTATGGCAAATGTCCCGCCTATAAGGCAATCTATGGTTGTAATTAATGGGGAGCGAATTCATAGAAATATTCTATGAATTCACCCCCCAATATATTTCTTGGCGTCAATCACGGTGGTCAATTTTAAAAACTGGCAACACCGTTGTCGGTGACGTTATCTTTGAACATATTATGGCGATGACGGCAGACGGGTTTGCGCGCCGTCGGAAATCGTTTCCCATTAAATTTTAAATGATTTTAATTTTGTGGGTATTTCTTATTTCTTCTCTAATAAGGATTACATTGCAGAATCATATCACGATAGAAAGTAGAGACTTTTTTTACATATTGTATATTATAAAATGTTAATGTTACATACATTATTTTTACTATATTATTATTATAGTGTTAATGCATACATGTTGCAGAAAGGCCTGATCCTTAAACAGCATTCGATACTAAGCGAGACCAAGGACGCCCCCGAGATCACAATGTTCGTTGGTACATCACCAGAGTTAGAGACTGCACTTTACACGCTCTGCTTCATGGCTCGCCCCGATAGACCCTGCAGACTGCGGTACAATAATGTGCCCTTCACCATCCAGACAAAGACTTTGAAGTCCGATAACATACTTCTAATCGACACTGCTTACCCAGTCTTTTAATATACTTCGGTAGAAACATTTTTTTAAACTTATTACAATTTATTTTTGTTTTATTTATAATTCTTATATTGTTTATTTCTTTTGTATTTACAACTATGTAACAGGAAAATTTATGCGTCAATAAAAAAATATATAAATATTGCTTGTCCCTCTTAATTCTAACGGCTCCTATCTACTAATAATAATACGCTATACACACCACCGTTTACCAATTACCAAAGATTACCTTCTGGTACCCGTACAAATTACGTCAAGTTTTAATGTTTTAATGTATTATCCAGACAAACCGAATATTTAATTACATTTAATTAACACAAGTGAGATGAATAGAATACAATGAAAATAAATTCGAAAATCACAAACATATATTACTTAATTAAAAAAGTGAATAATAAAGGTTTAAAAAAAACGTCAAGTATTTTATATATTATGTTATTAGTTATTACAAAGTACATTAGTTATACAATGTCACAGAGAAAGGTCATTCTATCCATGAATGTGCGATAAACAAAGCTGAATTGTAATGAAACTAACATGATTTTATTAATTTTTTTATTTACGTGTTTCATAAGTTAATATAAAGTAAGATCGTAACAGTAAAATTATAATAAAAATAAATATCATAAACAATAGATAGTGATTATATCAAAATGTTGAGAATTGATAGAATTTTACAATATATAGTAAATAACAGTATTCTTACATAAATAACAATTTATAAATACAGGTTATTTACAAAAATTTATCAAGTTATCGATATGTCTTTTAGAAAAATTTGATAAATATGTATCTAAACAGCGTTATATTATTACTAAGTATAGCAAACCTTATTTTTAATGGCGGGGAACAATGTGCAAATACCACAAACAATATTTTATTATATTCCACCTTTTGATTCATACAAGTCTGAGAAATACACGATCATATTTCAACTATCCATGCATTAATTATTAGTACACATTGAGGTATGCACACTCTTATTCGATTATTCTTTTGATAGTAGGAAAAACAAATATAATATATAATACATTTTATAGCACTTAGAATTAGACAGTGCTTTTAAACACAAATCACAAACCTATATCACCAAACGTATTCCAGTTCAACTGTCATAATGCACGCATATAAGACACAGGTTGCGAAAACTAAACTACATTAATGAGTTAGACTCTATACAGTTAATCTCCGCTTTATGTACTAACAAATCACGAAAAGCACTAGTTGAATCCTTTAAGCCCAATAGTACAGTACAACGTATGGTCGTACAAAATACCTACAATAATTATTGTCAAAAGACAATACAGAGATATCTAGAAATGCATTTCTGTATAAAATACTTTTGACTAGAAAATTGTTGGCAGAGAGGACTTATGAATTATGTTTTAAACCTTAACTTACAAAAATATATCCAATTTAAATATATATTTCATTGCGCCATTAAAACTAAATTTCAGAAACAACTTTCAGATTTTTTTTTTATTTATTAAAAAAAAACTTTCAGATTCGAAATTTCAATGCATATTTTGTGCATACATATATCTACCCCCAAATACCCTTTAAATTAATTAATATTAGCATATGTGACTGACATTATTTAAATAAATTGGGCCAATTATAATTTATGCAATAATATATTATTTACTTCAAAACATATTTAATCGCACATTTAATCTACGAAAGTGGAGTTATGATATTAATACTAAAAAATGTTACCACGTGAAAATACTGCTATCAAAATACAGTTATAGAAAATAAAATTGTATAAAATACTCGTTTAAAAATAAAATAAGGCAATAAATCTGAATATTGATTTCAACATTTAAAACAATACCATCTATTGAGTACATAAAATTACTTTAACTTATTCTATTTTCGAATTATACAAAATACGATCCATATTCGTGTGGCATTACACCTCGGCGGGGATAAAAGGTATGTGTAAGCGAGTAGTTGAGCAAATTCCTTATGTTTGAAGTGTAAATGTCGGCAAACCTGAACAACCTTCGGGAAAAATAAGTGGGGTTGTGGTAGGTGCGAAAAACGCTACCAAACTGTTTGTTAAACACTCCTTTTGTGGCATTCCTGGGAAATTGAAAATACTTGATCAGTTTCAATTAATAAACCGCGTTCAATAAAAAAAGAAAATTAGAAAATTTTAAACAGAATCAAAAATCAAAATAATAACACTACGTCGATCTACAAGCATTTAAATGGAAATTAAGAAGTCACATCACATCAAAAATTCTAAAATCAAAATATATTGTACAAATACAAATGTATCAAAATGGAATAAAACATATACGCACTGTTTCTGTTGGGCAATGCTTTGCAACAAGAAAATTAACAGTGTTATTGAATTAGTAACAACACACATATAATGAAAAAAATATTTTCGACCACTTTCTACCGATTTCGACCATGACACATGCAAGTGTCGAGCACACACTTTGTAAAGCGCATTTTACATGGCGTCAGAGATTATTCCAGCACCCCACTTCATCTTGCGACTTGGGGAAGTACTTCGGGAATCTTGTTGATTCCGACCGATGGTGGTGTAGACATTTACAGTAGACATAAAACACCCAGATCGCGACGGGAAGCGGCGTAAAATCTTGTGTTGTGAACAACTTGCTCTCGTGGCATTTAAAGAATATCCTTTCAACCATATTATGAGAAACAGTTACAGGACGATGAGAAATGACAAAAATTAACATGAACACATAACCAATCTACACTTCTGGCAAATTTAGAATATCCTATGTAACGCCTAACAATGCAATAAAAGGTGATCACAATATTGTTCAGTATGATGGAGATAAGTTTTATTTTGTGATTAAGAATTACTTTTCCTTTTTCGTACACTTTTCCTTTAATCTACTATATGATATCATACATAATCTTCTCTTATCTTTATTTATATGTATTTTCATATTTTTATTTTTATTTTGTACGTCCTCCTCTATTATTATACTATTGTTTGCATCAGTTCTCTACGCTAAGGTTGTCTGGAAGAGATCACTTTCAGAGTGATAAGACCGCCTGTTGTACATATTCTACTTTAGATTTAACTGTACTCGTTATTTTGTATTTTGGTGTACAATAAAGAGTAAATAAATAAATAAATACGAATGACAAATAGAGTACAGGTGAACTACCCCCTGAGCAAAGAGACTATTGTAAGTGGCCCGTGGAAACCTGTCTCCAACTTCAAACAATGCAGGCTACACATGCGTTGTCACCCCTGAGGACAAAGACGGAATGTCCCAAAGTCTGCAATTATACTTCACACCGAAACAAAACAGTGACGGCAAAGCTGTTTAATGGCAGAAATCGGTGTGATATTAAACTTACCCATAGCAGCCCATAGGCGGAAGAGGAGCCCTATCATTTAGAATTTCCATGTTGTCCATATTCAATGTGTTCTTGTAGGTACCACCCTTACGGGAAAATGAGGTTTCGCCAACGCTATGCCAACGCCAAGCGGAAAAATATTGGTAAAAGTAATAGGTACATAATATACAAGCGATGTTATATATGCAGACCCATTATTCACGGATTACCATCGGAGATGTTCAAAGGAAGACATACTGCACACACTTAGGGTTCAGATATCATGCATAATTAATGATGTCTTATATTTACGTGAATACCACACATTGAATAAAACTAATTTTACGGATTTTATGGTAATTTTAAGCAGAAGAGAATATAAATTTTCGCCTTGAAGTCTTGCAGTGTTATTATGCTTGGGTTTAGGTTTATTTTTAATTAACTATGGGATAGAAATACCCAACCATCTTCTCGATTGAAATAAGGATGTTAATTTAATTTCAATAGCCTCGAAAAACTTTCTTGGTAAGGATGGGTAATCTCTTGCGAGAATTTGAGATAATGGCGGAGACGATCTTGAATATGTTCACAGACTGCAGACTTCCCTGAACGTCGGGTGTTTCACATCAGCTATAATATTATGTTCTTTTACGCGGGATTTTATTTCTCGTTTTATTTGTCCTATGTAAAAGAAGACCACATAATGCGATAAAATCCGGGAAATAAATAGTTTTATTCAAAGTTTACACAATTGTACATGCACATGTTGCAAATCAAACCCCCTGGCTGTTATTAAGCGCAGTAGCGGTTAAACATAATGATAATGTAAAAGTAGGTCAAACTAGGAGCAAATAAGAGATCATTTCAGCTTCTGAAAGGAGAGACTACAGTGAACCATCTTTTCTAAATGGATGACGCCAAACTTTTAGCCTCCAGTCGCTTCATTTTATGAATTGCTAAAAGTTACATGTAATTTTAACAAATTTGTCATTGGTCACTGTCTGAACTGGAATTAATTAAAAACTTACCTCAGCATATCCCGCTCGTCCATCCATTCGGAGATAACCTCGAGTGCTTCAGGATCCTTGTAACCCTGGTGATCTTCAATCAACTGTGTCAACATTTGCAGCCAGTTGGCATTCTCCTTGAATGTCCTCGTATTCAGAGTGTTGATTTCGTGCTGTTGATATGGTTACTATTAGTAATAATTAAAAATAATCATTTTGTTTTTACTATAAGTAAGGCGAGTACATATATTCAAAATGTGTTGTCACCGAAATTTCCACAAGGTGATAAGAGAATCTATTATTCCATTACGCCCCATGAATGTTAAAAGAATCTTCTATGATAATTCAGTCATGCATTAAATCCGCACTTAGTTACTGTAGTTATAAATAAATAAATATTAGGAGATAACAATAAAGTTTAAATTAAAAAAATGCTTAAAAGATCGTATAGCGTCCAATAAGACGTGGTAGAGCCACGCCACAGCTTTATTATGGTTGTAGCACGAATGGGTTGGCTCCACCGGAGTATGACCACACTCTCACAGAATACCAGCGCAAAATAGCAGCTTAATGCTGCTGTGTTTCGTATGGTGAGTGAAGAGAACCGGAGACCCTTTTTACTGGAAACGAGGCATTTCATCTTAGGCCTCAGGGATGACAACGCATCTGCATTTTTATTCTTAATCGAGGATAAATGTAGATGTCTATAGGCCACAGCATCCACTTACCACGAGGTGGACTGTGTCCTCGTTTGTCACCTTTTATGGGTTGCTATTGCTTAAATACAGACACTGAAAATCGATCCAAAAGTAGTGATAATGAATATACTACTAAATAATTAATAATATTTTTTTTAAATATATAACTTAAACGGCGTCCCAGTAAATTGCAGCACTTAATTAATCGCTTCTCTATCGCACGAATTTCTTTAAAAAATATCTTCTTGGGCCTTTCAAAATCTACGGCAGTCATCTTCCCTAGCCTATTTTTTTCGACTGCTTTTGGTTATTTTCAGCTCGCAATTATCGCGACAAATACCTTATGCTCAGGCTTGTGATAGCACTTATAGAACTTTGGTTAATAAAAGGAAGGAAAATAAGTAAGTTTTTAGATATTTCAATTATTCGATAACCAGGTGGTACATTAGGTACAAATTAATAAATGATACGGCTTGCTTTCCCGTTGACAAATGAACTACTAACTACATCGCATTCCACCGCTGCTCCACCAGCTAATGATCCTAAATTTGACAATCCTGCAAATATGGGAATAAGCGGTAAAAGTCCTCCACACTTTGAAAGAGGAATACGAGGTAAACTTATTCCTTTTTTATTACTAAATATTTTTCTTTGCAGTTGCATAGACATATTTTATAGCCGAGCGACTGTCTTTGGATTTTAGATTTTTTAACTTAGACTGTATTTTTTATCCCCTTCTTAAATGCTTTTATACCACTGCCCGCCCGCATTTTTGCTTTCATCGCATTTTTGACTATCCATGAGGCAATTTTTTCTCCTTTCCCAGCATCTTTCGATTTCAACCGTCAAAAGTTCTAAATCCACTTATTGTCAAGTGCTCGAATCTTTGTTAATGTAAGCTATATCATGGAGCATGCAAACTTCATCCAATTTGTTTACACTTCGCTCGCCTTTGAGTAACCGTTTTTTGAAGTTTCGTTCCGGGGCCACGAAATTGATAGCCGGGTAAATGTAACTCAAACGGCAAATTATCTATCACGTTATTAATTATACCACTTCCTTCATCGATAAGTATAAAATGAGATAATTAAGTAATAATGTGTTATTTATATACCTAATTCACTTTTGTCCACCCAACTATTTTCTTCATAACTCAAGCTTAACCATTTTACTAAAAGCTTAATCCCTTATCTTTTAATAACTTTTTCAATAAGGTAAAGGTCTGGAAACTTAGTTTTTTTGTAGTTCGTAACCGTAAAAAGAGCCGAGAATATTTTGAGTGTATTTGTCTTCTATTTGATAAGTTTGTGGATTGGTTTGGTTGACTTTAACGATACGAATTATTTCTGTAGACCAATTAGCGGTATAACCTTTATAAAAATCTCCTTTGTATTTGCTTATACGAACACAATCGCCAACGCAAAACGCCAGTCTTTGGCGTATCTTGGGCTTTTGAGATTTCTTGATGTTTGAAATAACTAAAATCGCATTTGAATCATTAACGTTGATAGTCTTGAATTTTGTAATGCAATGTATTATTATAGTGCTTTACTACAAAATCTAAATTATTTTGGAACCATTGATATGGCCCGCATAGACTGATATTTTGTAAAGGCGAGTTTTTAAAGTTCTTATTACTCGTTCTACAATGGATGCCTTTTTAACGGAGTACGTGGAATAATGATTTATATTATAATATTTCATTAAATTCTTCAAAAAATCATTATTAAGTGGCGAAGCTTGCGAAGTCACTTATTGATTTCACGATGTCTGTCCGTCTGTCCGTCTGTCCCACGATTATCTCGAGAACGGTTTCGAATTTTCAAATTCTGTTTTCAGCAATCGATTACTGATCACCCAGGCATCTGAACCTCCTATTTTGAAACTGATTGCTCAACGGCAACCGTTAGAAACCGCTACAAAGCTGATTGCTTCGCCACTTTGCTATGCTGTTAGCTTGCTAGGTTTATTAAACTCTGTACCAAGATCTGTTTGTAAATTTTTAGGTTTTCGTCTCGATTCGGATAATAAACTTTGCATCGCATTTTTGACACAATTTTTATGTTTCGATTTCAGTGGTCTAACCCGCACATATTTCGAAAGAGCATCCATTACTACTAAAACATATTTATATCCTTTATTAAACGTTGAATATTTTTGAAAATCAATCAGGACAGCTTGCCATAAATCATTTCTTTAATAATTGTATGTTGACGAGAAAAATTTCTTCTTGCTGCTTTGTGAAGCTTATTGACAATATCTTTTAACTCATTTTATGTAATTTTGTGCAATACAATATCTCCCCTTTTCCTTCCATCCGCCACAGTGGTGACCCCGGCGTGATATGAACACGCAACCAACAACTACATATGCCGGAAGTTTAAGTATATATTGAAAATGGCATGCGTATTAAATAACACCATCGTATTTTTAATAATAATGAATGTTTCATAAAATATGTGAAACATTTCCGTGTTTTTAATTTACATGCAATTTTGTATTTTATAAAAAAATATTATTTTAAGTTTATGACGAAAATAGCATGCGTATTTACATCTATAGTTCAACGGAAAATTTTTTTTATAAAAAATTGAAAATGAAAGTTTCTCAATTGTAATAATTTGTAATTCCCGGGCTCTGTGATCGAAATGCCGCCTTTGCGAAATGTCACAAGGGGTCGCTTCCAGCCTAAAGTAGACGCTACACTTTTATTTTTTCCTCTTGGCCTCAGTGTACATGTACTTTTTGTTGGAACTAACAATATACTATAAAAAAAAATTCAGTTATTTAATAAAGTAAAACCCGAGTACCTACTTAATATTAGAAACAATAACTTAGTTTGAAGAAAGCCACGTACCAATGTATTGGCATCGGGTTTAAATTTGTTCCAACTACGTTATATTTCAAAGGCATGCAATATAATGTCACGGAAAAAATAACAAAATTCTTTACACAAAGAGAAGCCATTTTCTATATGACGTGCAAGCGCGCAAGGGCTCGTGACCCTTCTATCTTTCATATTTTAGGGTTAGTTATCAATTCTCAAAAAGACATGCAGGAGAAAATGGGAGAATATTTTCTGTCACAATCTCCTAGTCTATTTGAGCGGAGAAAGGTTTGTTAATCTACTAAATGTTATGGTGTTAGAATACACAGACAACCTTAACGTCCATCGATACCAACGAATGTGGTACCAATTAGATGGCGTGCCAGCACACTCTGTAACAACAGCCAGGCAGTGGCTAAATGACACGTTTGGTGCACAATGGATTGGTTGGTTTGGACCTTTTAGGTAGCCAGCAAGATCGCCAGACCTCACGCCACTCAATTTTTTTCTGGGGTTGCATCAAAGACGATGTGCACGCGGAGAACGTGGATTCAGTGGAAAAATTACGCCATCGAATAATAAATGCGTTTGAAAAATTGAGGGAAGTGGAGGGGAATTTTCAAATGTGCGGGAAAACATGAAACGCCGTTTAGCTCTTTGTATCTGCCAACACAGTGGTCTCATTGAAAATAAGAAAATTTAAAATAAAGACAAATAAGAGCAGTAATTAGTGATGACCACGGAGCAAATACAAAGAGGAGACGGCATAAGCAACTGTGCACTGTGATTCTAACTAGGTCCTGAGGTCAACACAATGGGCGTGGCTTTAATTAGTATACTGTCAGTTTTCGTCCTGTGCGCTTATGTATCGAAAAACGCAAATCGGTGTATTTTTGTAGTATTAAGAAGAAAAGGATGAAGTGTTGTGTTTTATCGTGTAAAACCTACTCAGATAGACGCTCTGATGCTATGGATGGAACCATATTTCATTTGTAAGTAACTCTATACCTAAGTTATTAAAACAGTTCTAGAAAAATCTCTGCGTTGGCTTTCAAATATAATTAAATATATTCGACACTAGACGGCGACACTAAAAATATAGGCCAGTATTGGTAAAATAATCATACGAAGGTGTTGAAATTTGTTTTGCATTCAGTCCTAAAGAATTTTCAATCGCCAAAATATTACTTTTATATAGTTTTTATAATAATTTTGTGTACAGGCCGTCATCTGTCGTTAAAGTAGCTAATCTACATTACAACATCGATATGGAACGATGCGAGTGGTTTTACTATTTATCCGCAGATGGAAAACAGTTAAGTGGGCGGGGCTCAACAACCCTCACCCCGTAAATTGTCACGCGTTGTTACATAGTGAAATCTAATTAAAACCCCTTCGTCTTTGTATTTGCTCCGTGGTGTTGACCCATTCCGTATTTGCATGAGTACATACGTTTACCATATAAAAAATTTGTCTCCAATTGCAGCGACATCGAGGCGCCGCCCGTCTTCAGTTGCAGCGCTGTCGCTGCAACTGGAGACGAGTGCATGATCGGCACAATAGCAGTTAAGCAAAGGGGTGTTCACATATGAGCATCTAAAGTTTGAATATTAATAAGCAATAATATTCCTTACCCAAATGAAATATTTCTTTACTTTAAAATATGACAAATTAAAATACTTTCAGGTCTTATAATTTAGGGGTATAAAATAGGCTGTTGGGAGGTGTTTCACCATTAGTTACAGTGTGTTTCCCACAGTCTGCTAGACTTGGAAGTGTTCATCATCATCAAGGCGGCAAGTATGTACGCAATTTAATAAAACATAAAAATGATTTTTACCAAAAAATATTTGAGTTTTGAGTATTTCATTATATATCTTATTTAATTACCGACTATTTTCAGTGTAGTAATATAATAAGTATTTAATCATTTATTTTTAGAAATATTTAGTCCCTGGCTTAATAACGTGTTGTTGCTTTCATATAAAATCGACAATCGAAATAAAACTATAAATTAAAATTCTAAATCTAATAACTAAAACTATATTTATTAGAATAAACTGATCTATATTCATAATAAAAAAAAAATTCTGCAAGCCCTGCGGCGTACACGTTAAACATTATTCCTTTCATCAAGTCCTATATTCGCAAGTCTAACTGCTTACTACAAACCGAGTTTGACAATGTAAGTATAATAGCTTGTGCTTTCAAGAACAGAATTGTCACTTACAAAATTAGTCCTGAAAAATTAACTAATTCACCTGAAATTTTCTTATCTGACATTTCGCACATAGGCATCTCTTCCACTAATTAAACAAATGTTTAAGAAACTTACAGCATATAAATTAATTTTGAACTGTTTCTTACATAACTTTACCAAAGAACAATGAATCATCTATTAAATCTTTTAATACTAAATATGAAATTATATACCAAAACACCGATCTATTGTCTGTTTACAATAGTTTTGCAGAAAAAAAGTACGAACAAGTGTTCAAAATTCGAGCCTTGCGAATCAGCTTGGACTATTGAGTCCCTAAGACACTTAGAACTAAATATTATAAAATATAATCCGTTAAGATTTGGCTATATACCCGATATTTGTAGATATTTGTATATATACCCGGAAAAAAATAGTTAGAAAAAATTAGCCGTGTAGTGGCGGTCAAGAATATCCACTACCCCATATCCTCCCGTGGGTGTCGTAAAAGGCGACAAAGGGAAACAGGCAGGAGATGGGCAGCAGCATCTTCCTGATAATAGCCAAATTACAATAAAAAAACTGCGGTTGCCAACCCGCTCGCCAAGCGTGGCAACTATGGCAAATACCCCCTATTAATGACAGTAACAAAGAAACGGCCCCCAGTCCCCGGCGGCCCCGCTATTCCTGGCTACGGTGGCGACCATGGTAACGGCGGGGCAGGGGGTGCTAAGAATCTCCGGTGGAGGTTCGGTTGCCACCTTAGACGACTCGACCTGGCAAAGTACAACGCACGCACCCTGAGGACTGACGAGAAGATCGTGGAGCTGGAAGAAGAGATAGACAAGTTGCGCTGGCGTATTATAGGATTATCCGAAGTCCGAAGAGAGGGGGAGGACACGGTAATCCTCGAATCCGGCAACTTGCTCTATCACCGGGAGGGCGACCATCTGTCCCAAGGAGGTGTCGGATTTATCGTCCACAAGTCTCTCGTTAACAACGTTGTAAAGATCGGGAGTGTGTCGACGAGGGTTGCGTACCTTATACTCAGAATCACCAAACGGTATTCGCTGAAGGTCATACAGGTTTACGCACCAACCTCGGCACACCCCGATGAGGAGGTGGAGGAAATGTATGAGGATATCTCTAGAGCCATGCATTCCTCCAAAACCCAATATACGGTGTTAATGGGAGACTTCAATGCAAAACTAGGCACAAGAGAGAACGGTGAGCTGAAAGTAGGGAAATTTGGAATAGGGCAACGGAACCCAAGGGGCCAGCAGCTGGCCGACTTCATGGAGAAAGAGGGACTCTTTATGATGAACTCTTTCTTCCAGAAGCGGCCCCACAGGAAGTGGACCTGGTCGAGCCCCGACGGTTCCACAAAAAATGAGATTGACTTCATTATGACGACCAGACGACAACTGTTCAGTGATGTCTCCGTGATCGCGAGGGTGAAAACTGGTAGCGATCACCGAATGGTTAGAGGCACACTGAACCTAAACGTTAAGTTGGAGAGGTCTCGTCTAATGAAGTCAACGCTCCGTCCCCCTCGTGCTCTGTTCCAAAATCCCGAAACCTTTCAGCTCGAGTTACAAAACCGTTTTCAGTGCCTGGAAGACTGCAATGAAGTGGACGATATGAATGACAAGCTCGTGGAAACTGTCCATGCGGTCGGAGCTAAGTTCTGCAAGACCCGCCGCAGACGAACACAAAAACTCTCCGATCACACTCTTAATCTCATGGCTGTTAGACGGGAGATGAAGCTACATTCTTCAACAGACTTGACAGCATACAGGCATCTGAACAGACAGATCTCCAAATGCATGCGGCGGGACTTACGCAACTTCAATACAGCTCGTATTGAAGAAGCGATCGAGCGGAACCAAGGCTCCAAAGTCTTTGCCAGAGATCTGTCTGCCAGAAAGAGCCAACTGTCAAAGCTGAAGACAGAATGTGGCAGCATCGTTTCCGGGACACCTGAGATTTTGAGTGAGATTGAGAGGTTCTATGGGCAGCTGTACACATCATCGTTGGAGCCACACGCAAGTGTGAGTAACGATCCAAGAGCGAGTCTCATCCGACACTATTCCGAAGATATCCCGGATGTCAGTCTGAGCGAGATTAGGATGGCTCTCCAGCACCTTAAAAACGGTAAGGCCCCAGGCGAGGATGGAATTACAGCGGAGCTTCTGAAAGCGGGTGGAAGACCGGTACTTGAAGTCCTTCAGAAGCTCTTTAATTCTGTCCTCCATGGTGGCATTACACCGGAGGCGTGGAGCAGAAGTGCGGTGGTCTTGTTCTTCAAGAAAGGTGACAACGCTCTCTTGAAGAACTACAGACCGATTTCCCTTCTGAGCCGCGTCTACGTGCTGTTTTCGAGAGTCATTACGAATCGTCTCGCGCGCAGACTTGACGACTTCCAGCCTCCCGAACAAGCCGGTTTCCGAAAGGGCTTTAGCACCATAGACCACATACATACCCTTCGGCAAGTTGTACAGAAGTCCGAAGAGTACAATTTGCCACTATGTCTGGCGTATGTGGACTATGAGAAAGCCTTTGATTCCGTCGAAATTTGGGCGGTGCTGCAGTCCCTTCAGCGGTGCCAAGTTGACTGTCGGTATATCGAAGTGTTGAAGTGCTTGTACAGTAGGGCTACGATGGCTATCCGAGTACAGAACCAGAATACGAAACCTATCCAATTGCAGAGAGGTGTAAGACAGGGTGACGTCATATCCCCGAAACTCTTCACCGCTGCATTGGAAGACGTTTTCAAGCTTCTGGACTGGAAAGGATACGGTATCAACATCAATGGCGAGTACATCACTCACCTTCGATTTGCCGACGATATAGTCCTTATGGCAGAATCGCTGGAGGACCTAAGCACTATGCTCAATGACCTCAATAGTGTTTCCCAACGGATAGGTCTTAAGATGAACATGGACAAAACAAAGATCATGTTTAATGTCCATGTCACACCTATGCCGGTAGTTGTTGGGAGCACTAAGCTCGAAGTTGTTGACGAGTATGTTTACCTGGGACAAATAGTCCGACTAGGTAAGTCCAACTTCGACCGAGAGGTCAATCGACGGATTCAACTCGGCTGGGCAGCGTTCGGGAAGCTACGACACATCTTCTCGTCAGACATACCTCAAAACCTTAAAACGAAATTGTACAACCAGTGCGTGTTGCCAGTGATGACTTACGGAACTGAGACGTGGTCCTTCACTGCTGGCCGTATGAGGAAGCTCAAGGTCGCTCAGCGAGCTATGGAGAGGGCTATGCTCGGAGTTTCTCTGCGTGATAAACTTAGGAATGAGGATATCCGCAGTAGAACCAGAGTGACCGACATAGCCCAACGGATTAGTAAGCTGAAGTGGCAGTGGGCCGGCCATATAGCTCGAAGAACCGACAACCGATGGGGAAGAAAGGTTCTCGAGTGGCAGCCTCGTACCGGTAGGCGAAGTGTAGGGCGTCCCCCCACGAGATGGAGTGACGACGTGGTAAGACATGCAGGAAGTCGATGGATGCAGGTGGCTCAGGACCGTGCTTTGTGGCATTCTTTGGGGGAGGCCTATGTTCAGCAGTGGACTTGTGAAGGGCTGTAATGATGACCCGGAAAAAATACACAAAACAAAATCATGCCTAAATTTTAAAAAAAAACTATGATAAGCACTGCTTTTTTGAGTATTGTAGCTCATTTGTATCCAACTACAAGTAATCCTAATAGAGTGAATTCATACCCTCATTACTCAGAAGTTTTAATAACAGATAATGTTACATTTCCTCCACAAACAATTAATGTCTTTTTCTTTTTTTCGCTCTACACAATTAAATTATGACGATATATAATAACGAATGTATGTATATAAGAATGATAATATAAAACAGCAATAAAATTCAATGTATAATAACTTTTATTATATTTAACATGCTACATTACTTAAATTACTAGTTTTTACATAATTTTTCACTTATTTTTTTATAAGACAATTTGTAGCATCTAACACTTCATCATACATTGAATCCACGACATATTGAACAGTTATATTAGCACTAAGATCGTTGATAAAATTTTCTTCTCGCTCATTAACTTCGTAAATGTTGATATTTTAAATAGACGATGACGACCTTGTTTATCTTTATCTTAGCGGATAATTTATGATAGTGATGATGATTCTTGAATTCGGTTTCTCTTTATGGAACATTTCTGTGATTTTGATTGCCGCTCTTCATTTATAGCTATTTTATTTGATGGTAAATCATGAAGCCGCTCCTCTTGGTTTTAATAATTTAGTACAAATTTATCCACATCCTGAGCATAGTAATACGGATTAGTGATAGGATTAGAATCAATGTTTTCCTCAGTGTTGACCATGATCTGCAATTAATAATACAAGTATGAAGTTAAAACTAAAAATTAAAAAAAAAACAAATAAAAGTTAATCGCAACTGAATTTCTGAACAGTAAAAATGATTAAACTCACCAATATAGATATTTGACGAACGTTGTAATCAACTTGCACTCGCTATGAGAACAAAACAATAATGAAACATTAGCAAAGCTCAGCTTCGCACACTTTTTAATTTAATTCCTACACGTGTCGGAATACCTGGCCATAAATAGAAGAAATTGCAGAGGTGTTTGATACACGATAGATTTTGCTAATAAGGTAATGATAATTGTACTCGTGCAAGTAATAGGAGCTAGGTATAATCATCCAAAAAAAAAACACTGTTTTATTAGCACTGACCATAATGAAGTTCGTCAAAACAAGCCGTATCATTAGAAATTAATCATATAGATGCAGCAATACCAGCAGTATCTTACAAACGCTCTGAATCTGAAATAAATAGAGCATACTCCACTTCCAGTTATTACTTAACTGGAAGTGGAGTATTCCCGTAGGATAGAAAAATAGACTGTGCGGGCGAAGCGTTCGCTAGTTACACATAAAAAAGACCTCCATCAACAAACAAACGTTTCATGCGCACTAATTTTGTCGAATGATGATGAATCAAACCGCACCTTGTAGTCATGACGATGATCATGACGATGACGATGACGATGATCATGACGATGACGATGACGATGATCATGACGATGACGATGACGATGATCATGACGATGACGATGACGATGATCATGACGATGACGATGATCATGACGATGACGATGACGATGATCATGACGATGACGATGATCATGACGATGACGATGATCTTGACGATGACGATGATCATGACGATGACGATGACGATGATCATGACGATGACGATGATCATGATCATGACGATGACGATGATCATGACGATGACGATGATCATGACGATGACGATGATCATGACGATGACGATGATCATGACGATGACGATGATCATGACGATGACGATGATCATGACGATGACGATGCTCATGACGATGACGATGACGATGATCATGACGATGACGATGATCATGACGATGACGATGATCATGACGATGACGATGATCATGACGATGACGATGATCATGATCATGACGATGACGATGATCATGACGATGACGATGATCATGGCGATGACGATGATCATGACGATGACGATGATCATGACGATGACGATGATCATGACGATGACGATGATCATGACGATGACGATGATCATGACGATGACGATGATCATGACGATGACGATGATCATGATCATGACGATGACGATGATCTTGACGATGACGATGATCATGACGATGACGATGATCATGACGATGACGATGATCATGACGATGACGATGACGTAGATCATGACGATGACGATGACGATGATCATGACGATGACGATGATCATGATCATGACGATGACGATGATCATGACGATGACGATGATCATGACGATGACGATGATCATGATCATGACGATGACGATGATCATGACGATGATCATGACGATGATCATGACGATGACGATGATCATGACGATGACGATGACGATGATCATGACGATGACGATGATCATGATCATGACGATGACGATGATCATGACGATGACGATGATCATGACGATGACGATGATCATGACGATGACGATGATCATGACGATGACGATGATCATGACGATGACGATGATCATGACGATGATCATGATCATGACGATGACGATGATCTTGACGATGACGATGATCATGACGATGACGATGATCATGACGATGACGATGATCATGACGATGACGATGACGTAGATCATGACGATGACGATGACGATGATCATGACGATGACGATGATCATGATCATGACGATGACGATGATCATGACGATGATCATGATCATGTTCCATTGGTTAAATAAATTGATATATGACATGCGAGCATGTTACTAACCAACTAATTTGGTTGGACTAAAAATTTGAACCGCTACTGAAGAGAATTGCGGCCCAATTCTAACCTACTGCAATAATAAATACACAAAGAGTGGCTCATACATACACGGTTGACCCCTGGGCATTCCCAGGGGTCAACCATGTATTATGTACCTCATTAGGTGGTCGCTTTAAACTGTTTCTAAAATAAATTTTGTAAATTGTTTGTACAATTTACTATACTACATATTTAATATTTTACTTTTTTTTAAAAGTCCTGGGTTTCTTTCTGGTTCTTCACAGGACAGAGGGTTTTTCCGAACCAGTGGTAAAGTAAAATACGACTCTCAATAAGAATTACATGTAATCTATAATGAATAAAAATTATTTTTTTCTATTGATTATAGTTATAGAGATCATTTTATTTTACTCAATTGTTGCATTATCTTTCCAATATCTCAGTAGAAGGTAACATTCAAGAAATTATGGTTATTTTTTATGCATAATAATTAATGTGAGCTTATGGATCTTCTCTTCTATATTTGAGATTCATAAATATTATGGTCACTAACGGATTCAACTTGGCTGGATAGCGTTTGGGAGATTACGACAAGTCTTCTCGTTAGGTATACCTCAAAACTTGAAAACGAGATTGTACAACCAGTGCATGTTACCAGTGATGACTTAAGGATTCTGGGACGTAATCCTTCACTGCTGACCGTATGAGGAAGTTCAAGGTCGCTCAGCGGGCTATGGAGAGTGTATGTTCAGTGTTTCTCTGTGTGCTTTTGTTACTTCTGACAACTAACTGACATTCTATCAAGGTTTGAGAGCTGGTTAGTGGTATTTAAAATTACTAGTAATTACACAATTTTAATAGTTTTTCTTACCGTTAACTCATTTATAATGGCTCCAGTACGCCAACCATGCTCAAGAGTTACATCGGCCAAATCACTGTACGGATGGTCGCCGAAATACAACACTTGATGACCACTCCAGCCAGTCAGGTCTTGTAGTTGTTTAACCGTACCCTGAAACATCCCTAGAATAAGTAGAGTAGAAGAAGTAATTATATATTTCAAAGTAAATACATAATTGAACAAAAATATTCTAATAAAAGGAGTAATATAGCTTAAAATTAAAAATTTTGTACAACCTACTCAATATAAATTATTAAGAATAAATCAAAAACTATTGGTCAGACCTTGATCAAATTTATATGGGACTACAAGAGAAGCACTAATTTCAAATTAACAAAAAAATAAAAAAAACAACCGAATTGAGTACCTCCTTCTTTTTGAAGTTGGTAGAAAATAGAATGATGGTATTCTTAAAGGGAATTGCTCTTGTTTGTTAGGATAATTTGGCTTAACGTGAACATTAACTATAATATTTACTGACAGGGATTTTAAAAATTTATATCTCAAAGAAACTAATTATAGTAATAAGGTTGCAAGATAGTGTAAAAATAGTTCATATTTAGCATGTGTAATGCAAAAACTTGTCACTGAAATAAGTTACACTTATGAGTATTTCTTGTCATTTAAAGCCGGTTCAACGTTTAACAAAATAGCGCCAGGGTCATCGTCATGAGCAGATTCAGTGTCCAACGGTAAAGCCGGGTCTTCAATTGGAGCAGTATCGGAGTCGGTTATAATAAAAACCAAATACTTCGCAAAAATAACCGAAACAATATTCACTACACGGAGGCAAAGCGAATATTTTTTTTCACTGTATATAATATGTCATTATTGACAGTTGGTGTTGCCAGGTAATAAAAAAAATCGATTTGACAACAACCGAACTAATATTATAATCGGATGTAAAATGATTTGCCAGCCAAAACAATGAGTGTTTTGTTTGCTTTTTATGTAATTAAAATAAAAGAAATATAATAAAAACCTGAAAATCACGTGAAATCGATTATTTCAATAATCTATTACTTACTATCTATTACTGTAATTACAATTATTATTAATGTGGCAACACGGAATCATCCTCCAACCAAAAAAATGGCGACGCGATTTGAACTCAATAAGCTTAAATACTTATTAAAGGACTTGTTTTTACATTTACTTTCATACTACGACAATTAAAAAATATTAATTTTAGATTTAATTATATTTTTCCTAAAATACTTTTTACGGAACAACTTGTCCACGTTAACCGATTCGTTGCGGCACCAATTTTCGACAACTTTTAGCTGTGGCGGCGAACAAATATTTCATGACACACCGGGCATGTAAAGCGCCACATACAAAAATGACACGCCTATTGTGCCATCCGCCATGTGTAAAAGTAATGTTCTTTTTTATGTTTTTTTTACTTGTTTAGACCTAATTAAGTTTATTTGACATCAAACTAAATAAGTTACAAACGGAAGGATACTTGTTTTTAGTGGGTAACTACGTGTTTTTTACGCGGTTTCTTTGAAATTGAGAGAAAGTGACTTCTTTTATGAAGAGATTACAAACCTTTTGTACTACTTTTTGTTAATAAAAAAATCATTTATATAAGTAGGTACAGCTAAATCACCCTGGAAACCTTGGTTTTTATTAAATTAAATTTTCACCAAATAATAACATTTGTAAATATCAAACAATGAAGAACCTTAACACTACAGTACACGCGCCCCTTTTTTTTAGTTGAGTACACGCGTGGCCTACTATAGTAGGCCATATTAAAATGTCAATAACTTGTATATTCCTAATTATCTTATTAAAACAACAAATAGAAATGGAAAAGGTTTTCATTTTACTTAGTTTTATAACCTTACTTTTTAGATAAATCATTAAGATATTATTAAGAATCAACAATTTAGTAACTATATCAGAAAAAGTAAAAAAATGGCACTTCTGAGATCAACGTAATTTTGTTTTAACTTAAAACTAAACTTTATTACTATTTTATTTGTTTTCGTAGTTTTCAGGACACACCACTGCTTGATGATCGGGACAAGTCCATTTATTGCAAGTCTTGCACCACTTTTTTGTCGACCGATTTCGGGCTGTCGAGCAGAGTGCACATCAACCAACTCGTTCTATCTTTGAAGTCAAATCATGTTGAGACTCTTGTGGTTCTTGAACTGTGCTGCCCAAAAGTGCTTCTATCCTGAATTTAAATTGTAGTAGAAGTGTTTCAATTGATGCACGCCGAATCAAAAGCGGTTTTATCAAAATAAAGGACAATTCGTGCAAAACGTTACGCTTGACATTTTCTTCGGCAGAGGTGTTCATTTGGTTGATTACCAGAGGGTTGATACCAATAATGTTTATCAAATCAAAAATTATGACTAGCGGCCATCGACGGCAATTACGCTGAACACCAACTGCTTGCATATTTTGTCTAGAATGTCTACACCAAATGTGGTGTAGACATTATGAGTAGAGATATACTACGAGAGAGAGTAGATTGATTACGATTATAAAAAGTTATAATGCATTGTAGAAAGAAAGTTGACTACTAGGGCCTGCAAGTCTGGTTCTGGCTGAACTTCATCATCTTCATTCTCAATCACTTTTTCATCTTCAGTATCGAGCTCATGGAGCCACCTTTCTACTTGTAAATCATTCATGGTGTTATCCAATATATAAATCTGTAAAAATACTAAAGGAAGAAAAATATACATTTTACAAATTGTAGCCAATATATAAATAATAATAATTTAATATGCATACACATAAATACATTATTAATAAGAAAAGAATATTATAATAGCGTTATAAATCGATAATACACCAAAAGTTACATACCTGAATTTGGTACACCAATACACGCGCGGACTACTTTAGTAGGCCCACGCTTTTGGCGCCAAATTGCTTGTGCATACGTACGTGCTGGATTTGCGCAGGGTACTGAGGTTGTGACAAATATACCAGACGAGGCTTACCTGGAATCACTAGCTTCTAGCTCTCTAAACTAAAAAGTTATTGCAAAAAGAGTTACCCTGGTCTACTATAGTAGGCCGCGCGTGTACTCTAGTGTTAATTTGAAAAAAAAAGGTATATCATTCATTGATATTTACAAATGTTAAATATTATTTAATGTTATACAAATGTAAAAGTAAAGTCGATCTGAAAACGTCTAATTAGTAAGAATAGCAAAACAATTGTTTTCAAAAGGAAAAAAATGTCGGCGCTATACGGCGGCGGATTGACAAAAGACTATTTATTAGCGAACTTTTTTTATGCATGAACGGTTTCGAACTGTTTCAAGCAAAAATAAACCATATACCATATCACAAGAGCACATGGCACTTCGTAGGACTATTCGGCCATATAATAGTAACAAGGCGACAGTTCAACCATTTTAAACAAAATTAAACAATAAGACAAACGCATTGTTTTTTTTTTTAACAGGAGACTTGTTTTCCAGAAATTTATTTACAACGAGTTTGTGAGCGATTGCAATGAGTGCTATTATTTGCTACTTATTAGACTATTTTTCCATAACATGATTTAAAACCCACAAAGTAAAAATAGTACCATGTACACGTTAAAAAAAGATTGTCAACCCCTAAAACTTTCAAATTTTCAAAATATCCAGAAACGAAGCTGCATGCATGAATCTACTCGCAAAATAATGAATATTTTGTTCTGGATAAATTTTTCAAAAAAGCAATTTGAGCGAGTTATAACGATTTTTAAAAAGACACGACTCGCGTGTCATACGCCACACACACACAAAAGTAATCGATGGCACGCCTGGCGTGTCACCCGCAACCCAAGAATGAACAATCCCTTTTCGCTCTTTTGCTGCTTTGCTTATTATTAAGCAGTTACATAAATTATAGGTTTATGATAAATCAAATAGAACGAAGTATGGCCTCAATCCCAAATTCTGGGTTCCATATTTAATCTATACATATAATAATAACGTAAACAGCGTTTTGTCTGTTTGTCTGTGTGCTTGTGCACGTTAATCTTCATAATGGCTGAATCGATTTGGATGTAGTTTTCACCGATAAATGGAGATAAGCCTAGGTTAACATTGTTTATATAATTTGAATCAGATAAAAAAAGATATTTCATTTCTTTCTCAAGTATCACGCGCGCTAGATGTGACACAGCCGATAAAGCAGCAGAGTTATCGGCGTACGCTAACCCAACGATTATATTAATAGGTCGGGGAAAAGTTTCTTCGCATTTTGTTTGTATAAAAGAAAAATATCTTTGGTTGTACTGTTTGTATCTGACTGGGTTTAATATCAATATATATAGGACATTAAGAAAAACAGCAAAAGTACAATAAAAAAACTGCGGTTGCCGATCCGCTCGCCAAGCGTGGCAAATATGGCAAATACCTCCCAATGATTAGAGCAACTAAGAGACGGCCCCCAGTGCCCGGCGGCCCCGCTATTCCTGGCTACGGTGGCGACCATGGTAACGGGGAGGTAAGGGGTGCTAAGAATCTCCGGTGGAGGTTCGATTGCCACCTAAGATGACTCGACCTGGCAACATACAACGCACGCACCCTGAGGACTGACGAGAAGATCGTGGAGCGGGAAGAAGAGATAGACAAGTTACGCTGGCATATTATAGGATTATCCGAGGTCCGAAGAGAGGGAGAGGACACAGTAATCCTCGAATCCATGCATTCCTCCAAAACCCATTATACGGTGTTAATGGGAGACTTCAACGCAAAACTAGGCAAAAGAGAGAACGGTGAGCTGAAAGTAGAGAAATTTGGAATAGGGCAACGGAACCCAAGGGCCCAGCAGCTGGCCGACTTCATGGAAAGAGGGACTCTTTATGATGAACTCTTTCTTCCAGAAACGGCCCCACAAGAAGTGGACCTGGTCGAGCCCCGACGGTTCGACAAAAAACCGTCAAAGTGCGAGTCGGACTCGCGCACCGAGGGTTCCGAACAAATCTGTAGGTATATAAGTTTAAAATTATTAAAAATATTTTTATTATATGATGTAACTAAAAATGTATGCTTTTCGCAATTTTTCCTTTATCTGTGCTATAAAACGTTGCTTCGTACCAAATTTCAAGATTCTGAGTTCACGGGAAATACCCTGTAGGTTTTG